GTGAGCTAATTATGAAAAAAAAAAATCACACAAATGTCTTATAGGATAAAATGATGAAGTCGGGATATTTTATATCCAAAAGGTCAAGGGTGAACTTCACTATGACATCAGAAGATTCAGCAAAAACACTTCTCTTGCCATTACCCAGCATCATAACAGAACAGAAGGGGGGACATTTGGTCAGATACTGAATGGGTGACACTAATCTTGGGTGTCCACCTTGAAACTGTGCTGATTGTATAGATTTTCTGTGCTGCTGGGTTGAAGATGTTTGCGAAGCATCCATGTTTTCACAGACATGGACCATGTGCTTCACCATGAGCACAAAGCCTCCCTCTTTCATTCCTTCAACCGCATTCTTGAAAAGGTCAGCGTTGCAGTATTTGGGTATATCCAAAAGCCTGTTGATGTCCGAGTTTTTTATAATGCTTGAAAGTAGGTGTGTTTCTTCTTCCAACCAGAAATGTGGGATTTCTTTTAGGTATGCCACAGCATTGCAAACTGTTGGTTAGCTGGTTTGTGTACATCACATTCATGACAACGCATAGAGTTGGCCAAAAACAGACAAGAGGCTGTATGGTGCAAACTGCTGTAAAAACTCCAATTGAGACAGATATTCTGAATGTGCTGTATATGTCCAAAGAATGCTCCTAAAACCCGATTAATACTGGCATGTCCCATGTCTTAATTGGAAAATGTTCAATTTGGAAAAAGGCCTAATTCAGAATATCCAAATGGAATATGCTGTTTACACAACCTGTACCAAATTCAGAATATCGTCATATTCAGAATATCAGTGTGCACGTAAATGTGCCATATTTTTTATATCAGACAATCTCTGATCTGAAAGGCAAACAGTCACAGGCCAAATGCAGCTGTTGTTAAGCAAAGAGCAACAGAATTTATCGTTTGGAGCCCTTTCAAAACACACAGCACTTATTGGTCTACTAAAAATGAAACACTCGAGTGGTGGAGTAGATGACTGCGCAACAAGCCAACATTTCTCTTGAGAGGTTCCTGTGTACCATACGGTGTTACACTGGGCTGCGCTGTAATAAACAGTTATAGTATGTTTAGACAGACCAAGAGCTTAGCATTCTTCCATTACCCGTGTGTTCCCAGAAACTCCACAAGTGTGTCGCTGTACCTAAGTGCTTGTTTCTCTGTGAGTGTCTGCGTGTGCATGCGCTTGCATGAATAATTGCGTGCGCGTATGTGTGCCCTCAATAAAACATTTCACTGGCTTCCTCTCTGAATTGTTACAAGTGGTGCCATTATTTAACACAAGGCTCTGGGCAGCATGAAGAGGGCATGGGGGTGCAGCATACTCCTGCTTAACAAGCACACTTAACCCCAGCCGGCCATGCTAAGCCGAAGAAAGGAAAGGTTGTTCCCCAGCAGTGACATGGCACAGGAGGGCAGTCAGGCCAGGGTAAGGAGAGGAGGGGACAGCATCATTAATGAAGCAGTCTGGTCCATAGGCTCAATTACCGTACACTGGGTAAAGAAGACAGTGTTCAAATTAAAGTAGAAGGCAGGCATGGGGTAATTCAGGAAATTTAAGCTTAGTGTATACGGTAGCACATGTACAGTTAATAAGCCAAACAGAGTCACATTTGATCATAGCCCCTATGTTGAAGAGTAAACACTGTCTGTGAAGTAGAAAGACGCAATTACTTTTGAAATTGGTGCAACATGACCAGAGGAAACAGAGGGAAAGGGCTGTGGTGTTCACTTTTGCTCAAGAGGTAGAAAACCCACAACTACCAGAATGCACTGTGCCGCACCGCACCAATAAACATTCCTGCTGGTGGGTGATGTAATGTGAGCTTGGCTGTTTTGACACAAGAAACAATATGGCAGCCAACAGGTAACAAACTATCTTGTATAACAGTTTAACAGAACATATGTTATTTGACAACATTTAAGGCAACAAAATAAGCGACACAGTCACAGAATCTCGTTTCATATTTTTTCAGCACTGCTTAGCTTTAGTATTTGATCTGAGTATTTATATCCTCCATTTTTACAATACAGTAATTAATGTGGCGCTCACTTCCTGTTCACAAATTCTCATATATCACAGTCAAACAGTGCACTAAAATATGTTTCTAAAAACATTTTAGGTGAGAAATAGACAACACAGTAAGATAATTTTGATTTATATTTGATCAGCTCGGCCTGGTTTTACAGCTTGATGAGAGTTTGGAGAGTTTGGTCTGCATTTGTAAGACAGAGAGGGAGAGAGGGGCGGGTCACTCTCTCAATCCGCGTCTATACATCTCGTGTCCGTGGTGGCGGGCAAACGAAAATGTGTACGTATCTGTTGTTTGAGCGACAGCCCTAGAGCCAGCCAAAATCTGGCAAAGGAGGCAAAACGCCTCATAGTGGAGTTTACCACAGTTTGTTTGAACATTCTATGCACACTATATTGTTGCAATGGCATGAGATTTTAACAGTAAGATAACGTTCTCGGAAAATATCACAGTTTCACAGTATTACAGAATAATAACTATCAGTCAGAATGACCCTTAAAGGAGTGAGAACAGAAGGGTAATTTTGGTTGAACAAACATTTTATTACTTTAATTGAAACTTGAAACCATTTTTAAATGAAAGTACATATAAAAAGTCCTTCCCTCCCACCAAAATAAAAGTGAGATTTTCTGTCCAGTTGCCTCCCCCCCCCCCCCCCCCCCCCCCCCCCCCCCCCCCCCCCCCCCCCAATATCGCAGATAAGCAGGTGCACATGATATGCTCACCATCAATTTGGATGTCACAGAATACCTTGAAACCAGCCCTACAATTTTGTTATGATACAAAGCTAATTTAAAGGTCTTTTGGTACATGAAAAAAAATCATTTAGCTGCATATGTTTGACTCTTTCAGCTCTAACCAGCAACTGAAGTTAAGTACTACTGTGCACATGGCATCTAAATCCAGTGGTCACCTTAAGTTTATCTAAGTAGAAACACTAAAAATCTCCCCTGAGACGAGCCCTCACAGAGACATAAATCTGTAGTGTTTTTATAAGCTCCTTGTTATGTCTGTACTTCTATTTCGGTTGTCACAAACATGTTGCCTCACTCTGTCCGAAATCATGGGAACCATTTAAAAGAATCTCTGCTCCCAAAAGAATGCTGCGTATTCATGTCTTTAGCTTATTGTTAGTGTGTACCAAGTATTCATTTAGGAGAAAAAACATAAACGCTACAACACTTAAAAAGGTTAGAAGCTCAGACAGGGTGGGGAGACGAAAGAGTAAAACAAAAATGTAGGTGTGGACATTTGCTGCTAGATAGCGAGACTAACTCTCTTCAAGCTCCCTGAAAAAATGGGAGTCCATGGGAGGGTTCAGGGATTCATAAAGTCTTGTAAGGTAATTGATTGCTCCTAGCGGGGCAATCTGTGTGGGATTTTGTTTTTCTTTTTTTCAGCCTGTAGGAACAGAAAAAACACACATGGGGCATTCTCAGCGATAGAGCCATTAGGGGGAGAATGACTGTGCGAGTGTGAGGGTGAGGAGCCTGACAGCGGGATGAACACTATTTAAATATTACAGTACACACACTCATCCATACACCCAAAACCTAGCCTAAATACAGAGGCGCCCACCGTTAAAGCCGGGGCATTAGGAGATGCAACGGATGCGAAGACAAGAGAATCTGCTCTAGACAGGCGAATTAAACCGTGACCTATGGTCCCCGTTGAGTAACATTAGCGAGAGCTTCCTGTGTGCAGGCACCACTCTATTGACCGTTCATCATCGCCCGGGAAGGTGGACAGTCACCATTACACACACACTCGCTGACGCCTCACTTTACAATAACACGGCGGCAGCCATGACTCCACATCTGTCTAAGGGATGTTTAAAAAGACTCATCATTATTACTCTTTATTTTGGAGGCGGGTGGATGGGTGCAGGCTGATAGGAGGAGAGCCGTCTGGTTAACGTCGAGGTCCTCTCCTTAACCGACGACTCAGGGCAGGAGCGCAGGCTCGGGCTGGAGGGGGAGGGGGCAGATGGGTACTGACTGGGAGGGAGGGGGGCACAGATAAGCGGTGCCCTAGGTCCGTTGGCCCGCGGATCTTAAATCATCGTCAGTGACTCCCCAGAGTTCACAAACATCAGCATTCCCATCGCTCCAAAACCTCACTCTCTTATCAACTGGCTTATCACACCGATCAGTTATCTGGTGCTCTAACAAACACGTCTGCTACCATCAAACACTCACTCCTCCATGCACAAACACAGACACGCAAAATGAAAAATGCCTTGAGGTGAAATGGATAGAGAAAAACTCAGTCCGATACAAAAGATAATCTAATTTCATCTGCAGCTACTTAAGCCGGGCTTAGACACAGGAGTTTTAAAAATCCAACTGATTTTTTTTTTATGACACCACGCACATAAGGATAAACTAATCTGAAACACAGTCACAATAAAAGATTGGAAAATAATGGCGCATCACAAACTACCCTGCTGGAGGGAACATGAACGCACCACCTCATGTGATCTCATGTAGAAGCAGATGTAAACAGACTTGCTGTAATGTTGATAATGCTTTGCAGTGAGAAAAAAAAAACAGAAGGCTACACGAGTCAAAATGAGAGCATGGTTTGGGAGACGAGGTCAACACAAGTTGACTATTCTTCAAATTTTACCTGTCAGTTTTAATATCTGTCAATGGTAGTATGCTTGCTAACATTAGCCTCCAGGTAGAATGTCTACTAGTGCTTGGTAAGACCCTCAGCTGCTCCGTACTGCTGTAATCATAATCCTAAATATCACCGTGTTCGAAATTATTGGGGCGACCCCGATGAGTTTGTGAGCAGTTCTGGAGGTTTAAGACTGGATCTCCTGTGGTCTGTGCCCAAATTTAGTAGAAATGACAATAACGCAACTTCCAAACTTGAAGTTTTAGTACTGTAATGTTTCTTCTCTGCTGAAAGAAAAGTGATTTATATGCGTTTGTGTGTTAATGCATGTGTAATTCTCACTTTTGTTCCCAATCAGGGAGACGACAGGCTGGATGTCAGATTCCTCGTTGGCCTTCTTCACCATGCTGAACCAATCCTCCAGATTCTCAAAGCTCTGGTAGTTGGTGATGTCGTAAACCAGGAGAACCCCCTGCATTGGAGAAACATAAAGGAACAAAACCATCCTCAGACTGTGATTTGAGCAGTTGAACTCTACACTCCCTGGATGTGAGTACACAGTTTGATTTCACCTGATATTCATTCATATTAACATGAGTTAATATTGAGGGAGTGAGGGAACAGTAGGTGGCACTGCTCCTCTTCTTAGAGTTGGGGACAGACTCACACTGAAGGGGACACACTCACTCACACATAATCTGAGGTAGGTTCAGTATTATAATGATCTAGGTGTGTGAATTCACTTGGATCTTGTTTAAAATGAAAACTGTGCTTTGTACATGATCAGGCCTCAGTTCTGTAAGCACAGTCCAGAGTTTGGTGCAGAATAGAGATGAGGTTCGGTTATCTACCATCTGAGCTAATGAATGAAGGCTGTCGGCCTGAAGACATTCTCCTCCTCCCTGTGTAATCCTCCACACTGAATGCACTGCAGAAACATGCAACAACACCAGAGCCATGTTTGAGTGAACACTGTTGTGTGAGTGAACGCTGTTTACATGGACACATAAATTAATCAAAGAGTAAACGCAGATACAAGCTGCTGGCATAAATCAAGACAAATAATCACAGTTTAACTGTCTGCTATTGCTGCTTAAACTTTTCCTAAAGGGCTGCAAATTAAATGTGAGCTAAGACAAATGTCTCTACTTTTACTGCATGATGCAACACGACTGAGCGGGTGTCTGTTGCTTTTTGTTCGGGCAGACACGCACTGTCACAACACGCAAGGTCGGTGACGACAGCTCAGGCCTCTGACAATTACTGTGAGTCTCTCAGAACAGCCATGATTGATTACAGGACGCACAGTGCTGAACAATAGGTGTGAAAGTTCCACACAGCACCGACAAGAAGCTCCCTCAGCAAAGTGTCGTCATGTGGCAGTGATGTACGACATTTTGCTTGTGAAGAATAGACAGTAAAGGAAGTGCTGCAGACAGTGCAGAGTGTTGGGGCACAGAAAATAAAAGAGAAACATGTCACTTTCTCAATTTTAAAGCAAAGTAGATTCATGGAAAAACAACCCCCTACGTATGTCTGACAGAAGTGTGATTTCATATCACTGATGTATGGTGACAAGTTTGTGCTCAAATGTTACATCTCACGCTGCAGTGCAAGTCTCATATTAGACAAACCATGGTCTTTAAGTAGGCCTCTTCAAACAAGAGACATCCTGGAGGTGACAAATAGCACTCATCTGTTGCGGTGCGACTACTGATGTTGCTGACATATGTACAAACTAGCATACACTGACACATATTACAGTTTTTGAAGAGCTCTGCTGTCATTTTAATCAACACATTGTTGAGTATGTCAAAGGACATGCGTTAAATGACGGTAAATGGATCAATTAGGAGCCTATATTTTCCAGCACTCCTTCATGTAAAAGCTGAGTGCTGTCAAATACTTATGAATGATTTCAGTTTAAAATAAAGTTAAATGTAACTACAATAAATGTACACATTGGGAGTAATTATACATAAGTGCTGTCACAATACTGGAAGTTCAGACTGTGATTAAATACCTTGAAAAATATTGATATTCTATACCATGTTCATACAATTTAGTTCTTAATTTTATATTTTTTATTTATTTTTATTAATCCCAGAGGGGAAATTCAATTTCTTCACTCTGTTGTCATACACACATAGGCCCGAAATACACACACGCACACACAGGACCAAAACATGCATTAAATGGAGAGATGTCAAAGCGAGGGGACTGCCCATGGACAGGCACCCCGAACAGTTGGAGGTTCGGTGCCTTGCTCAAGGGCACCTCGGCAGTGTCCAGGAGGTGAACTGGCACCTCTCCAGCTCCACCCTCTGGTTTCCAACCCAAGTCCCTGTGGACTGAGCTCCTGCCAATTTAAAGTTATTTTAAAGGATAAATTTAACAAGCCTATAACATGACAATGACTTTTAATTTTGTGGTTAGGACTGGACTTACGACTGGACTATAATAAACACTAACAATAATTAAAGGTTTTTTACATTCATGAAAACAATGTAATGCACGTGTTCAAAATGCAATGAGGTGCAAGTGCCACAAAAGCCTGAATGCAACCGAGTGAATGATACAAATGATGAGAAGAGTGACAGGAGGCGGGCCTGTGGGGGCGCTGCAGTGGTGTGTGTGTCAGCTTGCTTTTGGAGAGAAGACGTAGTGAGTAAGTAGTGTTGATAGTATCGATACTGAGGTAAACAAGTACTGAAATCGTTCCCAATATTCAGAATTGATATGTATTGATACACTGATATTTTTGCCAACACTAGTATACATGTTAAAGAATGTAGTTTTTGAGTATTGACCTACAATGTGCTGTATCATCAACATGTGTTCAGTCTGATTACATTAAACTGTAACAACTGTAAAAAGTAGAGATTCGCTCAGTTTTAAAGCCTCATTGACCTGTCACTGCTCACTGTGAATCCATGTGACAGTTAATTATGATGTGGCTGCAAGGAGGGAGGCTCTGAAGAGAGTCACCAATACAAGCCTATTAGGGAAATGGAAACTTAATTCTCCCTGTTCTTCCTATTACTTTGTCACAAGCATCTACGGCTGCTGACTTGTAGCTTTACGCGTACATTTCTTATCCTTCCTGGGGTTACTGGAGGCAAAGACAGTTTTATGTTTTCCTTCATGATGGAGGAATAAAAGAATGTTCAGAAAGCATAAGATGAAGCTGCAGCACAAACCAGAGATGCATATGTGATTGTAGGGCAAAACAAAAAGTAGCAAGAGAGGATTTAGAGTGATGTGTTTCATCTTACATGAGCTCCGTATACGTATTTATCCAGCATTTTCCCTCCTAACGTTTGGCCTCCGATGTCCCACACCTGCAGGGTCACGTTCAAGTTTCCTACAGAGAAGAAAAGAGACAAAAACACCTCCATTTTTAAAAAGAACTGACATTTAAATGACAGAAAATGTGTATAAATCAGCTCTATAAAGGGGTCATACAGAAGATGTTTTAGTGTAACCGCTTTCTCTCTCTTGTCTGCTAAACAATTACATTTTAAAAGGAGAAAAAAAATTGATAACACTGCAATCTGTGGGTTTCCTTTCAGGATATTTTTGTCCTTTTTAATCATTAACTTGTTTGTTTTAACAAAGCTCATAATCCCAAGGAAATAACGAGTCAGCTGTAACTGGAACCTGTATTTTGGGTGAGCGATTTCTATAATAAAAGTCCACGTTGTTGATATACATAATGGAAACAATAAATCAGCGATTAATCTTTCATGCTGAGCTCTCTTGCCTGGCAGGTCACCCACACCTCACATCCAAGAATATCCAGCCCAGAGATTGAGGGGGGATAAATAGGTACGCTTACCCTCTAATTTAAACATTCTCAATACCATGGATGAAAAAAAATGGACTTCTTATTAGCCTGTGAAGAGCTGTTTGCATTGTGCCGTATCCTGCCAAGTTAGGAAAGTGAGGAGAATTATGTGCTGTTAAGGAAAATAGCAATAATTAAACACAAAATGAGAGGAAACGAAGACTCTTGTCCCTCTGCCTGTGGAAAACAGAAAGAAGGAGTGAATGAGAGGGAGAGAGAGAAAGACGGGCACAAAAACCAAATCCAAATAAATATTTTCTTCCTCTGGAAAATGAAAGGGGTGGTTAAAAAAAAAAAAGTCAAAAAAAAAAAAAAAAAAAAAAAAGAGGAGGAGGGAGGACCAGACAGCGAGGAGTTTATGTTGGTGTGATGAGGGCCCGGCGCTGGGCTGGAGCAGCGATGGGGAGCAGAGCGTACACTGTGGACACGGCTGGACGACTCAACCCCTTCATAAGTCCCCTTTTTAAAGCGAGGGAAGGAAACGCTGAGGTTCACAGTCACTACATCTAGACTATACAGTGTCAATGTAAAGCTACATTGAGGAGTGCAATGAATAACGGTTCCTTGGTGTTATAAAGAGCCATCCCCACCCATCCACCATGGCTGGACACTAGCTTTATTTATGTCTCAAAGATTCACACTGACTCAACAGTGCTGACATTTTTCTGCTTATGCTTTACAACAAGTACAATCTGTGAGCCCAGTGGATGAACCATCAAACTGATAACAAGTTCGGGAAAGAAGGGCATGTTGATAATTATCCTCTAGGACCCTTTTTCTACCAAAATTAGCATGTGTGTGCAGGTTTTTTAAATGCGTGAAACCTGTAAAAATAGGCGATAGACTGCTTTCCCATTGACAGTAGACCAGAGGAGTGAGCACGGCGCTGCAGTAAAGGAGCATGCTTTTTTTGTTTTTCTGTTGTATCACGTTCAGCTTAACGGACGGGCAAGAAAACAGGTTAGCAGAAAGCAGCATGGAGGCCAGTGAGAATGTTACAGTGGTTAATTCTTTTTTTATATCTTACTTATTTAGTCTCGGTGCAAACTAAACTTTGAACAATGTGCAAACGCTTCTTGAACCAAGATGGATGTTATTTTGTGGCAGCCTGTCATTGTGTCGCGCCGGCAACAGGGCTAAAATAAGCGAGTCCACCCGGGTGTTGCATTTCCATTACTGACAATTGGAGACGGAGCCAATAAATACCCATGACTACTGCTGAGTGATTTGTCCTAGAAATGAATGCCTATTGTTACCTCTCCCTCTAATTAAATACAAGCGCGAGAGGTTAGTGCGTGTGCGTGGTTTTTTGTCCAGTGGAGAGGGGCTGAAGTGTGATGTGAAGTGGATGCAGACAAAGCAGCAGAGGTGTGGACTTGAGTCACATGACTTGGACTCGAGTCAGACTCAAGTCACAAATTTCATGACTTTAGATTCGACTTTACAGAAACAGAAAAAGACTTGCAATTCGACTTGAAGTGAACACCAATGACTTGTGTCTTCACTTGGACTTGAACCTTTTCACTCAAAAATACTTGAAACCTTCCCCCAAGCCCAAAGATTAAAAAGTCTGTTATTTAAAAGAGTGCAACAAATCAATTCATTTCCAGAATTAACCAACATTACTGTTATTCATTCCAAGAAAATTAACACCAAGCTCAGAGCATCCGGGCATCAGACAGACTTGTTTTAACAAATAAATACAAATGTTTGTAATATATATCATTATTCTGTTGTTATCATGACATTACATTTGGTAAAGAGCACATTATGACTTGTTTAGGACTTGAAACTTAATGTTTACGTGGATGCTTCTGGAATCCCTACAAAGTCTCAAAAGGCATTGAATTCATTAATCTAAAAACAGGGACTTAATTGTAATAAAATGTCTTATTTCAATCTTTCAAAAGTCTTAAAAATGCTAAGACATAGCAAAAAAAAAAAAAAAAAGTAATATCTATTCTAAAAAAAATTTACCAAATGCCTCTCACATTACCGAAATTTACCGAATGCCTCACATTACTGTAACACAGATCAGGATAAAGGAAACAATAACACTTAAATACATTTATCACATCTGATCCAATGACAAATCAACAAGGTTTTTTTTAAGGCAGACTAAATGGACACTTTTATGATAATATGTTAATTGTTTTCCATGTCTTTTGAACTTGACCCAATAAGTTATAATTGTCCCTCCCTCTGAGTAACTGATGCAGTTCACGTTTTCTTCCTTCAGTTTTGATTATTGTAAAACTGGTGTTAAAATTCATTCCAAGTGTCATTAAAAAGTCTTTAAAATTCTTAAATCTAACTTGCATTAAGCTGCAGGAACCTGGTTTAGGGACTTGGCACTTGACTCTGGACCTGAGTGCACACTTGGGACTTACTTGTGACTTGCAAAACAATGACTTGATCCCCGCGTCTGCAGAGCAGTGTCCGAAAGTTAGAGAATCTATCAAGTAAACTTCACCTCGAGTCAATCCCCTTCACCGCCTGTACCTCACTGGTTTGGCAGAGACATCTGGAAGAGGTATTGTTATAAAAAGCACACACAGAGGAGGCTGTTGTGTGCCAGTCGGCTTCGCCTCACCTCTCCCTGCGTTGGAAAATGTACATTAAGTTTGACAAGCTGGGCCTTTATGGTGAGAGGGGCCAACGCTGGCTATAGGCTACTCACCCCCCCGCTGCAAAAGACCCTTACAGCCCCATAGAGACCCGGAGAGCCATACAACCTCTCCAATACAAGGCAGGGTGGGGGTCCTAACGAAGTTTGGGACCACCCAGCTCGCAGAGCCACCCTCCTCTTCATCAGCTCATCAACACCCAATTCCCCAGAAAATGGGCCATTTAACAACTCCGGTGTTGGACCCAGTGTTGTTGCTGCCCCAGTGATGCCGGCGTGTATTTAAACAAAGGTTACAGTTTAACGCCGGAGAGATCAGTGATTATTTCAGGAAACTTACTGGAAAGAGAAGTCAAACGATTAACAGCATTTGTTCAAGTTCGCATTAAGACGCTGTGAGCCCAGCCTGTGCTTATGGTTGGCTCTTTTCATCCTGACTCCACCACAACATTTTTGGGGGTTTAGTTCTCCTAAGTCTCATAAGCTGAAACTGACACAAAATCAAAATAGGATCCTTCAGCCAACTCACAAATCAGCATAACTTTTACTTTTAGCACTTAATTTGCCCTTGCTTAATGTTGTTTTATTAGTAATGAAAGAATGGAGGCACTTTGCAGATTTCTGGAGCTTAGGCCCTGGCAGAGTTTTTAGAGATGCCATTTAAAATGCTGAAAATCCCCATTTCACATGGTAGGAAGTAAAAATGGAGTGCTTTCGTCTAAATATAGCATTAGTCAATAAACATTTATTTTACAGATCTAAGGTGGATACAGAGTGTGGCTTTATGTCTGCGGGTTCAACATAAACAAATAAGAACATGCATGTTTTATGTGGTGCAGGACAAAGATCAGTTGAACTCAGGGATCAGCGATATGGATATAAAATGTTAATGTATTTACTCTGTACGGTGCCCGCAAAATTATGAGCAGGGCTCGCCCGTTTGGACATAAGCTGTCCATTGGCCTTGTGGAGTCCAAAAAAAAAAAAAATAGAGTGTGCTGTTTGCTCTGGAGAGAAGAGCTTTCAGAGTGAATAAGCCTGAGAAGTGGCAGACACTCTACAATGAGGAGCTACCAGAAAAGACACATTCAGCTCCTGAGTTAACCTGGAGAACAAACTCTGCCTGGAAATGGTCGGACGAGAAAATACAAACAGCGCCAGAAAATATGAGAAATAAAAATATGACAGAAAGTGATGGTGGAACAGCAGGCCTCTTTGTTCCACTCTCAATTAATATTCTGGATCTTTTTAATGCTGATAATGTAAAGTAAACACAGACATTAAAACCTTAACATGGATATCACAGTATTACAAACAACCACTAACCGTGAAGCTGCTCTGTCTGACTACAATCCTGCCAAATACATATCCTTAGTATTTTATTGAATTAACAAGTCTGCCACTACGTGCTTGTGCAACATGTGTGCGTCTGTGCAAGTCTCCGAACAAGCGAGCACTCCAAATGATTATGAAGGTGTCTCACCTGGAAGGCTTATTCTCTTCAGAAAGAAATCCAGGCCGATGGTTTGTTTGTACTGCTTCCCAAAGGCCTCCTGTGCAAACCTGGTGGCGAGTGATGTCTGAAATAGAGAGACAAAGCGAGAGACACGGTGAGCGAGTGCCAGAACACCTCTGTAGCAAACAACAGGCTAAAATATGTCATTTAAAACAGTTATGGGTTTAAAAAGAAAATGCTCATAGGATAAAGCAGAAACCTCGATTCAGTGTGTCGTATCTGTCTCATAAATAATCTTCACACATACATGCGTACGATAAAAACCAAGTCAAAATCACAGCTCAGAGCAAAATGCTGCAAAACTCCTTCCAGAGAAAATACACAGTGTATTAAAGAACTTCCTGAAAAAGTGATATTCTGGTGCTGAGCAGAAGTAGAAAAACTTTGATTTCATTTATGCTGACCAAATGCCAGAGTAAGCTTTTTACAATATTTCATTAAATATTTCTAAAAAATACAAGAGTATAATTTATCATAAACCAACACTTCCATGCAACTCTTTTCCACAACAGCCTGCAGCCATAACTCTCAGGCGATGCAGCCTTGACGTACGAGCTGTAGGACATTAATTTCGTTTTTACAAATCCATTTTAAGCAACTTCAAAAACTCTGCGATTGACTGAAAGGTGCGCTGATGTAATTGTCTGCCTCCTCCCTGCCGTCTCACTACTCAGCCGCGGCTGTGACAGTGAAAATCAACGTGAATTACAAAAACAGGTGTCGGGGAGTATGTCATGTCTACAGACTGCAGACCTAATAATTGCCACAAATTATAAAGCCTCCATCACTGTCACTGTTGTGTTTGAGGAGGGGAAAAAAATAGCATGTTAGGGGCTCTCCTGAAATCCATGGGAATTCATGGCGCAGGCCTGACATGCCAAGTTTAATTCATTTTGATGGATGAGGATGGGGAAAAAAATGAAGTGCTGAATGTCTATTAGCTATCTTTAGAGCAGTGTGCTTACATAAACACAACAGAGAAGTGAAGCAATGGGATTCCCTGAGTGTTCATGTGGCAGCAAATGCATTTTAATGTGGTGCTTGCCACTCACTGAGGGTTAGAGGATTTAAAAGTAAATTCTTTCTTTCAATCCACTAAGCTTTCACTTGAGCCTATGTCCTTATCTATCTCTATTCAGGCTAAGAAAGTTTAGGTTTAGCCAAATAACGTCTCAAATAAGACTGGATTTCTTTCAAATACTCCAGGGGAGACACAATCTAATAGAAGTCAGAAAACCCTTCATGGTTTATCCACATATTCCTCAAGTAAACAGAGTCTATTTGCCTTCCAAAGGTATTGATTTGTCACTGTGGATGATACCTTTAATATCAAACCTTTATGCTTATCCCAGCTTGGATTTTTAAATGTAATCTTTTAATTAAACCTTTTGAGTGTGTAATCCTGGCCTTTCCCACTGCCTTGATTGATTAACATTTCCTTAGCGCTGCAGAATAAAGTTTTATCCACCTAATTCTTCTAAAAGTTCACTCACCTACAGACTTTTTTAAATCTCAGCCTGCGGAGCATGTCACAGGCTCGAGAGTGACTGAAAAATTACTAGAGGTGACTGACGCAACAAGGAGAAAATCGGCCATTTAAGTAGCCCAAACAATCACTGACAACACAGGAATAACAAGCTCGGACAGCAAAAATTTATTCCACATGCTCGCGTTGGCCTAGTCGGCCATTTGTCTTGGCATTCCAGTAGCTTGGCTCCCCTCCCTCGACGTAGTCCTTTTTTTCCAACGTACAATTGGAACTAACCAGCGAATGTAAAAGCTGGCGTAATCCTGACACTCCAACAGAGAACAGCACAGGGTCACCAATGATACCAATGCCGGGAAATGAGGGAAGTTCTACTGAAACAAGAAACTGGGAGAGAGGGAAAAAAATATGGCAAGCTGACTGCGTCCATGTGATGCAACTCAGATGAGAGATGCAGCGCATATTTGCAGCATCGCATCAAAACTGGCTCTTTATTCTGCTTAAACAGTTAAGACACATATACATGTTGAAGAGTTTGACTGTAAATAGCATTTCTGGGAAGCAGCATCCATTAATGTACAGGACCTGCACCTAAAGCTGCTTTTTACAGAGCAAATAGTCAGAAAAAAAAACTGAGAGGCTTCTAAATCAGGTTGAAAAATAGACCTGTGTGTGAGTTAGGCCCAGCACCTTACGAGCCTGGCTAAATGTGAGGGTCCGTATTTTAAAAACATCTTGCTCAGGTGGACAAGCCTTCCCACATCTCTCTATACTTCTGAATGGACAACCAACCACAAGCAAAAATACCACCGAAACTGCTGTCCAAGAAAAACTGATCCGATTGCAATTTGCTCAGCAAATTGACATTAATAAGGGGGGAAACGGCATTCAAGATGTCAGTCAGTGGTGCCTACTCAAAATGGGGGGCAGGGCTCCTGTTTTCTGCCCAAAACAGACAAGCAGGTAAGTCATTCAGACAGTGACGAGCTGACACCTGGCAGCAGTGTGAGGAGGGTTATTAATGTAGCGTATCTACTGGGAACTGAGTTGTGTGTGTTCTCTGCGCCCCCTCCCCCAAAAGAAAATGTCGACTCTCCAGAATGAGAACATTCATTTTTCTCATTGGGTCTCACCATTACTGCTACATTCATTTTCTTTCTCCCAGAGGAAGGAGAGATTAGTTACGAAAGGGGATGTGTAGCTGAAAAGCACTTGACGTCCCTGCCTTGCATTCACACTCATTCATTCGAGGACTCGAGATGCAGTGAAGAAGAACCATAGCTGCATCGTCATGACAACCTCCTTGCTTTGCTGCAAATGATTGTTTGGTGTGACAAGGGAAATATTCCACTGTTGTGGATGTAAGTTAGGCCTTCTTAATCTACATCTTTATACTATATCAACACACAGAATGAGTCACACCAGTGGTTTTGAAAGAGACTTACAGCAACCCTGTACAGATTTAGCAAAGATACAATATACCAACAAAAGGTATATTATTCACAGTTCAGGCACTCATAAAACCAAGTCGTCACACATGACCCTTTGTTATTTTATTCTATTAAATGAGAAAACAGAAACATTTCTCATAGGGGCTGTCCTGACATAATTTTCTTAAATGGGGCCTCACTCTGGAGCCAAATGCATACAGGGGTCCTTGGCCAGGAGAAGAGAGGTATACTGACGGAAAACAACCACCAGCTGCAAGAGCTGGGCGAAGAAACTGTCATACTCTGTATAATACTGTACAGTGCACTGTTTTACCCACTGCAGCCCCAAAGTGTTTAACAAATGTAGGGAGTGTGAAAATGCATCATCTAGATAATTTTATTTTAACAAAGGGAAAATTTAAGTTGTTGTTATGTGCTTACCTATTGTCTGTTTAATTGTAAGTCTCGTTTAAAAGCAGGCAACAAATCGATGGTGAATTTAGTTGGGCTCATTTAAATTGGCTCTCTTTGTTGTCATATCAAAATTAGATAAAAGCATAACAAAACAACAACACATAATCTGTAAGTGTATACCTATAGGCTGAGTCACTATAAAACACAGCACCACCAGCATGCAGTCTACAACTACGTTCAATAGCACCTGTAATGTGGATTAAGGGCTGGGTAGACTTAATAGGTTTAGAACAACGGATTTGTGCCAGATTTAAATCCATAATGCTATCATTGAGACAGAATAAAAACTACACGTGCTCATCAACCTTGTAAAAAAGAAATTTCAAGATAAACTTTAAAAAAAAATCAGAAATTTTTTGAAATGTTTGACTCTTTACTGTAGAACTACTTTAGAAAAACTGTGTACATTTTCGTCAGGAGCAGTTCCTGCACTGTGTGATTTGTTTGTCTGATAATCCTAACATTTATCTTTACTTTAACATACAGTTATTAAAGCGTGTGACTAATACTGAGTTCCTGAAGCTGCTGTTTCAGTCCACATAGTCATTTTAGAAACGTCATTCCTCAACATCCATTATCAGGCGTTAATTTTTTTTTTTTTTTTTCAGTAGTTTCTCATACGGTACGCTCTCCTACCAATAATTTAACCATCTCCAGCTCTGGCTGAGATGAACACCTTCATCCTCAACATGACATCAGTGTGGATGGGCAACCTCAGAAACACTCAGAATGTAATTTATCATTATATTATAATGCCCAACTTTTTGTCATTAAACTATCACAGAGAGAAGTAACGGTTGTTGCCAAAGTTTTACTAATTTATTTCTTATCTGAAATAAATGGCCACTTAACTACAGTAAAGGTAAAGTCGGTCAAAAAATAAATATAACACCAGGTTGACTGTCCACTTAAAGCATCTCTACCCTTCCATGTCTTTCGCTGCTTTTGCTGCTTCACTGACATCAAGTGAGCAGCAACTTCCCGGCTGAAATCTTATTAACCCCCACTCGCCATATGGACTACTATCCTCATAGTCTCATTTCTGAGTCTGGGTGTCTCCTCCTGTATGAGTTTTAACTGAGGCCACCAACCAACCTGTTGAGTTACCTGAGGTCGACAACACGGGGAGTCCTTCAAACAATTGTTTACATCTATCTGCAAAAATGGGTTTTATGTGTGACTAGTGCGTTTAGGGTGACTGTTCAATACTGACTCTTTTGATGCTCTGTCATTACTTCTCTTAATTTACAATATGGAATGAAAAATACTGTCAACCTCTCTCTGCTTGCCCCTATTGATATTAACAGCTATTACACTGTTCCACACAGGTTGACCAAAGCTAATGAGTACCCTTTTAAGCGTGAGTCAATTGCTATAGCAGATGTTCACTTAAAAAAGGTGTTTATATGTTTGAGTAGTACCACATGTTTAAATGTTGATAGTGATTAATTTGAATTACTAAAAGGGAAATTTTACTATAAAATGTATTCAGTATTGTACTATTTTTTAGTCTTTACAAACATGGACAAATGTCTCCCAAAGCTGGAGATCTGAGCCATGTCTAAGACATAATGTTAAGCCTAGACACTGTATTTACAGTATATAGACATGTATTGACATAGACATGTATTGACATGGACATATACAGTAGACATGTCCATGTAGTGTACATAATTATCCAGTCAGTGTATATCCATTCAGTATTTATTTCTTTGCACTATTTGTACAGTGCACAACTTACAGAACACTTGACTTGACTACACATTTTAAATTTTCATTGGTGTTTTTTTTATATCTAAGTAAATAGTATTTATGTATAAATATTTTTTCACATATTTGTGTCCATGATAGTCCCGCCCATTCTTTACCTTATTTTTTGTCCAGCAGTGTTGTCCTTGTTCCTAGTTGTTAAGTCTATTTCTTTGTCAGTTCTTTAACACCAATGCAAAAAACTGAGTGAGATTCTTTATCTGTGATTGTTAACCAATTCAAGTATGTTGAGCTGCTGATAGTGATAAACTTGTGAGGACTAAGAAGGAAATTTTACCACAAAATGTACGGTATACTCTACTATGACAATAGGACGATGCTTTTTGAAGACAGTCTGAGACAGTATTTACAAGCATGGACAGCTGTCTCCAAAAGCTGGATATATGAGCTATATCTAAGACATGCACTGATGTTGTAGTGGGGACTGTTTATTTATGAGGGACCTATGTTTTTTATTTTGGCCTATATGATGGACATACAACTTTAAATGGCTGTATTTTGTATTTGTTTGACCACGTTACACCATTTATCATAGCCAGAGACTGTAAAAACAGACATTATCGTTTGATATTCACATTTCCGATAGTTCTTCAACACATGATGTTGGACAAACGCTTCCGTCAGAAAGAAACCTAACCAAATCTACGCTTAAAATAGTGATAGCTTATCAAAATGACTTTATTCTGCATGTCTTATTTAAAATTTTACAGATAATAAACCATTTGCATGAACTAACAAGCATACACAACAAGAGAAAAAAACCTTTAAAGTCCAGGATGTTGTCTTTAACTTTTAACTTTCAAACACCTATTCAGAAGTTTTTAAAGTCTAATAACTAATTTATGTTTGAGGAACGGTCGTGCATTTTTCCCAAGTCACTCAGGGAGGCTTGAAGAAAAATATTTAGCTTCAGGGAAGGTTAAAAAGAAGCCACCTCACCAGCCACCCCCCTCACCTGATAAGTAAAGAACACTCCCTTAAATTGAGAGATTGCAGATTTTGTTTTATAACTGTGTTAATGTTAATTTTGGCTTCAAACGTCTATAATAAAAGGCAAAGCAAAGACTTTAAAGAAAGAAAGTGTCTACGCCATTATCCTAACTACAACTACTGCATTATTAATCGCTTTATGTTGTCTTGCTGTGATTGTTAGCCTCGGTTGCTAGCAGTTAGCTAAGTTAGCTACATTAGCGTCGGTCGCCATGGTGACTGTCAAGACAGAGCAGCGTCCGGATGAGCAGCGTAAACAGCAGAATACTAACCAACCCTCCGTGCAACTGACATTAACACACTGTCTGTGTTGAATTCAGACTTTGCAGGTCTATGCACAGTTAATATTGTGAGTGTAAGTTGTCTCTGTGTCCGTGCTGGTCTCACCTTCCCACACGCACCGTCTCCAATCACTACAATTTTAAGCTGCCTGTCCTGGGTGTCCTCCTCCGAGTCCGACATGACGCTGAAATGTGCTCCGACTGTGTCAGCGTGGAAAACCGAACCAAAACCACCGGGATATAGTCACAGGCCGGCTGACACTGTCTATCAGGCTAATCACAGATGGATTAAACGAGTGTTGAGTGGGCAAGCAGACGCCATTTTGACTCTGCTAACACAACACTGCTGCTCTGCTCGGCATGATCCACTCTTACCGTGCTGCCTCCACGTACACTGATTTACGGTTAAAACGGGAGGACACAGATACCAGGAAAACGAACCGGAGGCTACAATATAGCGTTTCAGTTAGTAAATGTTGTCAGTGTCGCCATGAAGCTCTTTGTCGCCACGGGAAACGACCAGAACCGGAAACCCAGTCGCCAGCGGTGTGGTTGCGTCCTGTGTGTGACGCGTTGCTGTTGCCCTGGTAACACAGGTCAAAGTGTGAGCACTAAAACGTGAGAAGCACAACAAAAAGTGGTTTAAAGTAACTATTTACTAAATTACTAGACCTAAAATTACAATTTGAGGTTCTTCACTTTATATTTTCAATTTTCAGCTACTTTTTTTATTTCAATAACTGTGCTTACTTTGAATATTCTGAGTTTAAACAGCTTATTAAATACAATGAGCTGCCAAACAGCATATCAAGACATTAAAAGCTCCACCTCGACCTCACACAATATTAAAATGCTGCTTAAACCTTCATGCATCAGTAATAATATCCAACAATAAATTAGTTAGTTAATATGTAAGTACGAAAACGCATTGCATTTTATACACTACTGTGGCATTGCTACTTTTACTTGAGTAAAGGATCTACATATTTCCACTAGCTACATGTGGCTTATTCAAGATTTAAAATAACAATAATTATTTAATCTGTCCATCTCTCACTTTCTTACACACATACACACACCCTCTTACACAGGGTGCCCCTGTATTTAAACATATGTACATGTTTAGTCCATCATCTGGAATTCTCATTTACTTTAGCAGCAATACAGTTCTTCCACAAATAGACTTGTAGACATAAATCTATTTTAAAAAATGTGATTTTAATTATATATTTATACTACAGGCTACTGTATAATAACTAATTATCAAGTATATCTATATGGAAACCCTTTTGGACCACATTATGCATCTGTAATATGACAGATTTATGGGCCTAATGTACATCTAACACCAAGCTTCATTATGCTTTACTTGTGTTTAAGTTGTCATCTTATTGGCTGTCTGTCAACACACTCACATACACATACATAACATGTACACATACACACACACAGGTGCACTATATGTCATGTCAAACTGAATCAAAATTATGATAACCATGATTTAGATTCCCCTGAATAAAAGCAGATCTGAAGTCTGAAGAGGGCCAACAAACATTTAAGGATTTTTTTGCCCTTAAATCATTACAGACTCTGTGTACTAGTCGACCATTCAAAGGTTAATGTTATTCCTGAGGCATCCTAATCATGGATAGACAGACACATTTCATTTTTCCACTGCTAAATTCACAGCTGAACAGCCTCCCAGTTTACCACAGTGTCGAAGAATATCTTACCAGCTGTGTAACGTGATTGCTCTAAATGACACGCTGATGTATTTACCAAATGAAGTATGACTATTATTGGCAAAGTTAAACTCCAGTCTTGGACCAAATGCCAAAGCAGAATATTTTGACAGAATTATTTTTGTCACATTTCTTTCTAGTGTATTTGTAAATGATTCACAATTAGCTCAAGAATCTGTGCTTAATTTAACATAAACAAAATGTAGGTTAAAGAGTCATTATTTAAGATTTCATCAGTTTTTGCAGGAACTGTTGCAAAGCAGAAACATACCTCTTCTGTTTTTTTAAATTATGGCACATATTTTTTGGAGTGCAGAAGATTTAATATACCCTGCACCAAAATAGACACCCAAACTATTCAGTTAAGTAAAATAAGGAATAAAATATTTCATTCTTAATTACAAGAATAAGCCTTTGTGTCAGTGACCTTTAAATTTAGCCTATAATAAATATTATTCCGTCAAAAAGGAGGGTCAGGACACAAAGTTTTTTTTTTGTTTGTTTCCTGTAATTTTACTATCAAAAGTTATTATTAACAGCCTGTAGAAAGTATTTCCAAGAAGAACATCTCACTATACAACTTTTTCTCGACTGTGTGAGCTGTAGTTGAAGTTTGATGTCCACCGAGATCCATTTACTGTGTGCTCACACACACACACACACACACACACACACACACACACACACACACATACAAAATAAAAGGTTGCTTATATTTTAACCCATGTCACTAAATGCCCCAAAGTCCACCTCTTCCAGGGGAACATGTTCAGTGATAATGATTTATACATTGTCTCTAATTTACGTCCTCTTGTTAAATATTTTGTAATTTCTCTGTAAAACGTGAGCTGCGGTGTTTTAAAGCTAAAGGTTGAATCACGGTCCTCGTCTTTCACACTTTGCTTTTCACAGCCGGAGGATGGATGTCGCTGCAACATGAGGGATGGAGAGGAATTCACACCTGGGCCACTTTGAAGCAGGTGGCAGTGACTGTTAGGTCAGTGTAACAGGCTCATGAGGGTGTGAGTGACAGCAGCCCCAGCCGGACAGAAAGCTTTGGAGAGAAATTAGGACTAATTGTTTTTAAAAGAGTTTTCAGGCAGAGGCGATCAAGGCGAAGAGAGACACAGTTTGGAAAAGTCTGTCAGTGACTTCTTTGCATTTCACTTGTTCAGTGTAACCTAATCGCCTAAATGGAGAAAGCATTTGATCTCCTCAGGAACACGGAATTAGAAAGTCATATATTGGGTCAAATGGATTAAACACAAATTAATAAATTCACAAGGAAGAAGGTGTCGGACCTTTTACCTTATCATAATTAACTGTACTCTATATGAAGCTCAATTGTTTCACGAAAGCGCACCGAAACTGAGAAAATACAAAAATCGTGTTTTGATTTTCTCATTATTTTTATGGTAAAATTATCAGTATTAGACACAATGATATTGAAAAAAACAACAATGTCGTCAAATAGAGTTTTTAATGGACCTGTGCGGGCTCTTCAGTTTACATGTAGGCTAGATGATGAAATATTGATGAATAAAACGGTTATGCAAACGAAAACCATATCAGAGTAAATATGCTTAAATATATTCGTATATTGTTGTGCAAAATAAACCATCTTTTTCAATCACACAAGCCGTGCAGAGACACACAGAAACCCGTGGGCACACCTTTTAGATATCCCTCTATATCTGTTTTATAACTTTAAATGTTTTTGTTTGATTAGATGCTTTATCACACATGGTCATGTTGGTGACATTTTGCCCAAAGATATTTTATTATCTGCAGTAATAGAGAGAGAAATATTCTATTATTGATTTAGGCTACAAAAATAAATAATCTTCAAGTAAACGAACCTGTTATTAGTTGTTAAAATATTGTTAAAGACTGACAAATAATTTTAAAAAGACCTCGTGGTGTGATTGTGTCACTTGTTTACAGCCCAGGGCTATCTTAGTTACTGTGAATCGTGAAATTAGGCGGATTATCTCAATTTTTTAAAAAAAATAAAGGCTATTAAAACCGACTGTTTTAGGAAATACGAATTAATGTTTTATCAAATTGATATTTTTTGCAGTGTGATTTGGTGTAAGATATCAGTGCATTTTATATTTCCATTAACCAACAATCATAAACCTACAAGGTTGCGTCTGTTAGTAGTCGCTCCGCCAAAGACGCAAATACATCCCATTATATAAAGGTGGAGGACCCCGGCTGTAAGCAGGGTCTGTATCCAGCACAGCCCACCGTTTAACGTGTGAAATAATGTCTATTAACTTCCAGTTTTCTGTTATCAGTAACAACTGTGGAGACTCTCCAGCTTAAAATAATTACTGCGCAGTGAACGTGAAGAGAGAGCCGCTGATGTGTCAGCTCACGCAAATATGGATCAGTTTAAGATATAAAGGAAGAGCTCGTTGCGTAATGTGAACAGAGGTAAAATAAAGAAAACATAAAGATGACGAAATTTCTGTTCAATCACAACTCCAAAAAGTTCAGAGTTTCCCAAAGTCCTTGCTTTGCTCCAAGTACAGAAAAGACTAAAATAATATGAATATATTCTAAAAAAAAAAGTGTTACTTCTTGTTGAGTAATAGAGACAAAAGTAGGTTACCTGTGCGTGAACATGCGTAATTGGTTTCTGTAGGCCTATATATGGGGCAAATAAAATACACAAACTGGCGTAGTTACCCTTTAAATCATATTTTTTTCCTCTAGGAAAAACTCAACATATGGTTTCACAGTCTATTTGATTAATACAATAAATATCTTTCCCACGCACCGCACGTACCGTAAGAACCAAAAAAAGGAAATAACGGGGAGACTGTGTGATGGGCTAAATGCACACCGATGGGGGTGTTTGCATTTCAACGATCGCAGGTTGAAAGGAACATCAGTCCTCTATATCAGATATCTCCACATGCAGGTATGAAAGGAAGTTATGTGGGACGGTCCACTCCTCAGTATCCTCTCTCTGTCCTTCAAGCCTCACAGCAGCCAATGACGAGCATCACTGCCGCTGGAGATGGTCTCGGGTGGCTCATGTACCTGCATCAAGGAGATCAGATTTTAGGACATATTGGCGCCGTTCGCGAGGAGGGGGAGTGTATATGGGGTTAAAGAAGATGGGACACGGATCAACCGCCACCCTACATATACCTGGGTGTTGGTGCGTATACGTGCGTAAAAGCGCACAGTCGTTGCGCAGCGTCAGGGCTGAAACACAGATGGTGCTCGTTATGTCCACATAAATTACACCTCATTTGGATCTTTGGTGCTTTCATGGTATCAGCTTATAGATGTGACACCTGTGCTGCAACAATTCAGATTTTTTTGTATTTCTGTCTCCAATTTCCCGCTTAATGCCTTTTTATATACTGCTGATATGCAGCATCCAGACTGTGTAGGAGTCTACAGGGGATGTGGGTATTCTTTAAGGCCAGAGATGGATGGCTGGTGCACGGCAGCTCCCTCCTGACCCCGACTTAACATACAGGCTGTTAGTGGAGACAGAAGAACACCTCCTCCCGTAATACTTCAATTCCAGTATTAGGCCTAAAACTACAAAGACAAGCTTTAATAATTTTCCTTTTTGACATAAAGAAACTGTTTGCAATCTGCCAACTCTTCCCCTCTTTGGCTTAAATTTAGGCGCAGTGACATGGGCCTCCTTAACCCCGGAATACTCATCTCCTTGTATTGGCATGCAGCCCTAAAGGTAGCTGTCAGTTTGCCCTGTCCGGGAATCACAGTGCTATTCATCATTGTTTGACAGGTGTGTTTGGGAAGGAAGCCATGGTGGC